TTTTTGACAAGCTATATATAGTTTTCTCGTTACTCCCACGTGGCGGACAAACGACATGAGCTCGCTTGCGACCAAGTAGTTTTTCCCACCCCCCTCGGCAGGTTTTATTTTTGGTCTCCCCTCCCCTCACCGCAAGTGCAGCTATTATACTAATAGCGCACGCCGTGGTTATACGATTGTGACTCGACCGACGCGGCAGAGATTTCAGAGCTGCCCTTCTCGTTATTATAACCCAAATAGCTTCAACTCAAATAACTTTAACAACTGTTTAATAATAGCAGTGTTCTACTTTACAGTCCCCTGTTCGCTTTAATTTTCCGACTAAATTTTCTTTCTTCTAACGTCTAAGTCATACAAGCGTTGCTGAAATATAAATTTTCTCGTCTTTGTGATCGTCTTTATAAATGAGCTGAAGTTGATGGCATTAATTATATCACACACAAAGATACAGGTCTTATATAAAAATTATCAAAATATTTGTCACTACTTAATCAACAGCAGAACTGAACAATCACTAAATCACCATCATTTAAACCCAAAATCTAGGAAACCGCGTCACTTATGTATTACCCTTACATAACACCCTAAAACCAGAAACCCCAAGCACCGCATGGATTTTGCTTTTTTATCCATTTATTTTTTTTGTCCTACAGCATAGATAATTTTTCATCTGTTCTCCCTTAAACCAAACTGTCACCTGCAAATTCTTCCTTCATTCCTCCTGTACTACTATTAGACATAACTAAACTGTGGTTTAACTCGAAAACCTAACAGCTCATTTACCCTCCAGTCTCATTTAAACAAGACTATAACGGTTACCTCATCTAAAACAACCTATATTAACTAACTAATAATGTTGTAATATTTATATTTACATTGAGAAAGTAAAGCTGTTCAATAACGTAAGTTAATTGAGTCTTTTTTTTTTCTTTCTTTCTTTTTTTTTTAAGTTATTTTCTTTTATTGAGTTGCTTGCATTTCGTTTATCCCAGGGAATAAAGAATCCCTTGCTAGGCAAGCTTAGTTATTAAACTTTATGGCCGTCCCTCTGTTATTGATAATATTTTAATGTATAGAGTAGAAATCTGGCCAGAAATTTATTTCAGATAAAATCGTTTTTCATACCTAGTGTCTGATGCGTTCTTATGAAAAAGAAATGTTAACCAAAATGAGTTAAACTGAATTAATTTTGTCAAATCCTTAGCAAAGTTGTTGATGAGCACTTGTATGAACATTTATCTTATGAAAACAAATTTAGAGCTCAACATTAATCTGAAACGTAACTTTCTTGAAGATGTAGCTTGCAATTAGTCCTACTTAACGAATCCACAGATTTAAAGAGTAGGACTGGGATGGAGGATTTCCTGTTTCAGCATCATAACCAAAGTCATATTCAGTTTGGCCGTCTCCTTCAACAAAAGAAGCAGAGTTTTTTTCTGTTATTCCAATCCCGTGATCAGCACGCCAACAAGAACTTCCTCCTCCACCAATCATCATCACTGATCCATCACCACTAGTCCAGTCACACCAGAAGCCGATGTTGTTGGCGCTTTGGATGTTTCCACTGCACTCAGCCTGTTGAAACCCGTCTGTTGACTTGTACTGACTGCCATATTGAACCGTGCAGCTTCCCAGGCACTGGTCACTGGCCCAAACTTTGCCTTCTCTAAAGTCGCCATAACTTATGATTTTTGATCGGAATGTTTGTCCAGCCAAACAGTTACCTGTGGTTTGTAACAAAGGAGTGTGACTGGGGTCATCACTGCGCGTGATCTTAAACTCTTTGCCGCCGACCAACCAAAAGGCTGGTGAAATCATGTCAGAGTTAATGGATGGATCTGTTGTTGTTCCTGTGGGTAATTGGTGGTCATACCACCAGAATCCGTCGTCACGCATCCAGTTCTTCTCGTCGTTGTTTGAGAATCGAGCAGTAAGTGTCCAGCCTTTGCCATCAACTGTAATATCACAGTACACCTGATACGAAGAAAGTAGTTTTAAAAATGTATTTATAAATACTATGTATTTAAAAATACGTAGCGGCAACACTGAGAAATTCAGTTTAGCAGAGTAAGCAGAGTAAGTTTATTGATGAACGATAATATTTAAAGGCAATTTAATTAGTGTAATTTATTCCCTTTCAACTTAATTTGTATTGACATGACATTGCATTGGTGCCCGAGTAAAACTTGATAGTTTTAGTATACGTTGCACATAACTGAATCGAAGACTTAAATTAAAAGCCTTGTTAATCTTACAAAGGCAAAATTTGAATCTCGCTTTGTCTATAAGACTTCTCAAAACCATAAAACAATAGCGTTCAGTTTTACTGATACATATCGCGCCTGTGCAGGTTGTCTTATTCGATGAGCAAAGCGTCCAATATTAAACTAGGTGTCGCTCGTCAATCCTTTAAAACGTTACACCAAATGATATAAATTGACGTCGTTAAATACAAGGTTCTGTATCGCTGAACTACTTACAATATATCTGATGGACGTTGTTGTCAGTTCGTATCTTCCAGAAGTTTTTGCCGAGTACTTTGTAATCACCTCTTCGCAAGAGTTCACTGAAAATTAGAGAGACAAATCAAAGACCCGGAATGAAACACCATTGATCTTTTGATTTAGATGGTATGTCAGGCGGCTGTACCGAGTGGAGTCCAGTTCGGTCTGTTATCATGCGAGTGATTTAAGGGCGGTGCCTACTAAATACAAAGGTTTTTGCGCCAGTTTAGGACCATGTGGAAAATGTAGATCTCTTCAAAGGCTATTGGAATCCACAAGAAAAGTTGGGGTAGCCACGCATCTTTTTTTGAGATAATTAGACTTGAATCTCAACAAAAATTCTGACATCAGCATTTTTTTCTAAAAAAGGGAAAGGATATATATTTCTTCACAGATTTCCTTAGAATTTGCGTTTATATACAGAAAAGCAAACACATTAATAAAGATCTTAAAACTACATGGTAAATGGTAACATAAAAACCTTTTGTGCTATGTTTTCAATAACATAGCGTTGCAACAGCGCTTTTAGCTTCTCTGACAGCCTTCCTCTGATTCAGCTAAAATACAGTCTAAATACCTTTTGCTCACCACAAGAAACTAGTCACTTATTAAATAGGCTTGCCATTTCCATTTCATAACGTAAAATGTAGGGGTAACCACGCGTTTTTTAAAGTTATTGATCTTTTAAATAAATCTTTTAAAGTTATTGAACTTTTACGGTGCCCGTTACATTTTTTCCTGTCACCTCCCCAGTAAGTAGAACATTTGCGTATCTCGCACTTGTTTTGCGCGCGCACTGCGCCATCTGCAGGTACATGTTACAGTTGAATTTCAGTTTAACAAATTGACGTGAGTTTTTTTTTATGCGTCTGTCCTCTTATTGATGATAAATTGCGTCTTAACATTGTCAAAGTGACTGTGGAACCACGAGCCGCAGGCGAGTGGTTTCGCAGCAAACTTTGACAATGTTATGACGAAACTTATCATCAATAAGAGGACAGACGCATAAAAAAACTGACCTCGATTTGTTTTTTACAATAAAAAGACCACAAAATGGTCAAATGCCGCGAATGAATGAGGGGAAAAGACGCTGTAAACTTGCCGTAAACAAAGATAAGTGAGTTTTTTTCAAAATGACGCGAGCATTGTCAATAGGTTTTCTCGCTTTTTGATTGGCCACTTAAAAAAGTCCATAAAATCTCATTGGTTAAAAAGTTGATAGTTTGACAGCTGAAAATTGAACTTGAAAGCTTGTCTAAATTAAAATTTTATCCATCTGTACTCTTATTGATGATAAAAATGAGTCAATCAGCGCGCGAGAAATTAGACAGTTATTGTAAAAATAATTTTTGACAGATAACAGCTAGTTTTTCAGCTGGAAGACGTTAACATGTACAGTTAGTCATTAGCGATACGCTACTATTCTGGTGTTCCTGGCTTAAAGACAGGTTCATTAAACTTGATTTGGTTACAGCGGGAAAATTTTGCTTTCATTTTAGTCGTGTACTTGCTAGCGTCCTAGGTAAACGATTGCGTCGATATCAACCCCAGCGCGCGTGTGGCGCTTAAACTATGCCTTGCGTGATGCCCAGAACGTGTGCGCACGAACAAAAGTAGGCGCCCTCCTTAAAACAAAATTTAACGACCCCTAAGTGGGAGTCTGATCTGTCAATCACGAACATGATTACAGACAGAACTGGACGACACAAAGTCTTGTTTTCTCACATCTGGATCTGAAATCTAGTATCGCCTTCTTCTGCCAAAATAATTTTTTTTTTGGCAAATGAACCATATGGTGATGAATAGTTCAATATGGACTACTGATAGCCATATGAGTAGTCCATATTCCATTACTCATATGGCTATGAGTATGTGTAATCCATTAATTTTGTCTTACACATCTTTTTTTTTTTTTTTTATAAGAATGTCTTTCTTTGAGGGCAGGGTGGAGAGGTTTAAAATTTTCTACGATCGAAAGATTTCCGAGGGTTCAACCATGATTTCTGCAAGCCAAAAGACCGCTCATTGAGTGGCAAACTCGAAACTTTCAAGTTTGCCACTCAATGTTCGATTTTCGTGAACACGTGCTATTGAATACGATTATTATAATTTCGAAAAAAAAAATGGACCGTAGCTTGAAAAATGACTGTGAAGTTTCTTTGAAAACAGTCACCGGAGATAAACCACGGCGATTTTATAAAGTCACTCATTTGAATTGGCTACTATAGTGATTGTAATTCGCCAATGTTGTTATTGGTGAATTTAGTTGAGAGAACTTAGAATGATTGGCTGTCAACTGTCCATTTACAACTTTATACAGATTAATTAGCGCAAAATGCAGCAGTTTATGCACCAATCACTTTCGAAGAAATTGTAACAGTTATATGATTAAGGTGGCAGTCCGTGGCAAGGTACCTATGAAGGTACAATATACAATTACAATAGAATATTGAGCCATGCAGCAACAATATTATACTTCACAGAATTAACTCTGGCGTAATCAAGTTCTGGGAATTAATCGTTGAATTTCCTTCTGCAGCTTAACCCGGCTTAAATAAGGAAATTGGGGGCTGGGGGTGGGGTGCGTTTAAACAAGGCAAAGAACTCACAGTCACCCTGCATATTAACTAAAACTACAAGGAATCTACACCCTAGGGTCTTAAGGGGCGAGGAATACACAACCTTTTGTATTCACAATCAGTGTAGTTGTTGTTTCCGCTAGTCCAAAGCGATTTCTGGCTTGGCAAATGTAATCTCCGTTACTGTTGTACTTGACCCGGTTAATTTCAAGGCATCCTTTTTGCTGAAAAGCCAGCGTTGAATCAGAAGAGTGTTGAGCCCGTGACCACTGCACCTTGGGTGGAGGAGAACCTGAAGCTTCACAACAAAACCTTAAAGTGGATCCTTCATCTGCAGCGACCTGAGAGGAAGGTCTCTTAGTAATTACCGGTGGTTCTACAAAAACAGACACAACAGCACTTTAAAAATTATCCACATTTATCATTTGATTTGATTTCTTCAGTTCTGGTTAAAAGGGGAAAACAAACTGCTACTGCTGTCAATTAAAAAAGGAACAAATAGTAAACCACACAAAATAAGACATAACTTTAATTAACAAGGGAAATACCTACAAAAATAAGAACCATCTAACAACGAATGGTCGAATTTGCACAAGTTTATCGAGCAAAACTTAAGGAAGTTATACCTTTTATTCGCAATCTGCCGACGGCCTTAAGAATTCCATAACCAGTATGTGCCGTACACATGTATGATCCAACATGAGACCTTTGTACATTGTTGATATGCAGTGCACCATCTTTCACAGTGGTAT